AAGAAGAAATGATTTCAGTTAGAAGAGCCACTGCACAAGACATTTTTTCAATTCAAAATTATCAACTTACAACAGAAGAAGGATATCAGTCGAAATATTATTATTATCACTTTTTATCATGGCCATATTTAATGTATGTTGCAGAAACAATAAATAAAAAGATAGTAGGATATACAATTATGAAAACAGATGATGAAACTAAAGAAGGGTTATGTACTGTTCAAATAACAAATCTTGTTGTATCAGAATCATATAGAAGAATGAAAATTGGTACTCAATTATTAAAACAAACTATTAATGCTGCTATTGAAATTTATGGAGCTCGTATCGTTAGAGCTCGTTCGTCTGAAAAAAATTCTTCGGGAAGTAAATTTTTAGAAAAAATGGGATTTTCAATGGTCGGTGAATATGATCATATGGAACTTTATAAAAAAGTGTTGAATTTGGATGACCAATTAAATAATGAAGACATTTCACCTGCTGCTGTTGCTTGGAGAAAAAAAATTATTGCAGCAAATTAAATTTTTTAAAAAAAAATTCTAATAATTTAAAAAAAAAATTAATTAAAATTTTAATTTAAAATTTTTAATCTTCTTTTAAATTTTCATTATTTGAATATTCAGTTCTTTGAAGATTTTGTTTATTTGAAGAAGAAGAAGATGTTGAAGAACAAATAATAAGAAGTAAAGTAATAAAGATATAAATAACATAACACATGTAGAAGACAAATAAATGGATAAAAATCAATTGAATTGGATAACCAATTTCATCATAACACGATTTAATAGAATCAGTAATATTTTTAGCATAACAACCATCCAAATTAATTGATTTCCAACCACAACAATTAGATTTTAGTTCAATATTATGTAATCCATTTATGTCTTCACTAAAATCGTTTTGTTTCATCATAGTTTGACTTAATATAATAAAAAATCCTCCAATAAGAAGTACTAAAATACTTCCAATTATTGTACATATTTTACCTCCTTTATTAAAACAACACGAAACAATTGTCGTCGATATAAATAATAATATTCCAAAAATACATCCAACTGATATAAATAATGAACTGATTTTTTCATTAAATTCAATGTCGGGATCTAATAAATTAAAATAAAATTGAATGGGGAAGAAACAACATAATATTATCCCAAGAAGACTTAACAATAATAATGGTGTATGTGCCATCTTGTAATTATTTATCTATTATTTTTATTATTTTTAGTTGTATATTATTTAGTTATCATTTTTATTTTTTAGTTTGTTAATATTCTTTCTTTTTTGCTATTTTTAATAACAAAATTAAATCCTTTTTCCAATGCAGGAAATACAACAAATT